GCATGTCAACTTTGAATGATAGAAAGAGATGTGTTTATTTTATGGGAAAAGTGTTAGCAGTAAAGTGGAGATTACAGAAAGAGTTTAGCTACGCTGATCTCAGATTATCGTGTATGGTTTTCTCATTCCTTTTCCTGTCACTGTTAGGACACGAAATACAGCACATAAAAGAGGCGAATGAGCTTATTATTATATCCAAAGGAACACTTATTTTTGATGAAAGGAAGCAGCAAGGAGTGAATTATTGAGTTATACAATTATTGGTTCATTACAGCAGTGAATTGGTCTGACTATTGATTTATTTGATATTAAATATTTAGCAATGGTAGTATAAATATTTGATAATGGAGTCGAACAGCCAAGATGGAGAATTTGCAAAGTAAACGTAAATTGGAGAGCAGTGATGAACTCCGGAATGTGTGTGATTTATTGGATTGAGATTCAGTTGATGATAGATAATAAATAAAGTTTGGTGGTATAAAATTAGGTGAGTAAGTGGTAATAGAGCAAGTAAATGTCAGTCATTTTTTATCCATACCAAATACCTCATTATTTTGCCCTTCAACAAAAGTACTCTTTATTTCACACTCGTGCGAAAGTTGAAATATGTCTAACGAATTGAAGACAGTTGACGTATAAGTAGATAGCAGTGAACCAATTAGTTAAAAAAAAACTAAAGTTAGAAAAGTTTTGAAAATAACTCACTCATCTTATTGCTGTTTTGAAGGGAATAATATTTAGATGTAGGTAATCAGATGAAGGAAAATTTAAGAATACAGTCTGAATACTAATTGAATGATATATCCAAGACTGTCTTGCTTTCTTAGATCACAGCTACCAATATATATGGTGTTTGGTCAAGTTGTTCAGTTTATGAATATTTGAAGTACGAACGTCATACAAGTAAAGAGGTTTTGAACTCTGCATAAGTATAGCAGAGCACTTTTGAAAGAATTTTTTAAACACTGAGAATGATTGAAGAAAGGTGAAAAAAGTCAAGAAATTGCAATAAAGATGATGTACTTGAAATCTTAAGGAAAAGGATTAGAAAATGCATATTTAATTCAGAAACCGTAAACATAATCCTGCACTATTTTAGAAGTTAAGGACAAGGAAAATATTTTCAGTAAAATATGAGTTGGTGATGAATAAATATGCATATTTGATTGATGTAATTTTAATTTGACATAGAGCTGAGGCATCGTCATGAAAACAAAAAAATTTTTCTATACTCTCAATTTGCCTCTTCACTCGATCCTTCTTATTGCAAGTAATGGTTTTGTTACGTTTTTTTTTTGCTTTCATTGAATATCAATTATTTACAGTCTTCAATAAGGAGAAATTAGGATTTTTTTATTGAAAATTTCTTTTCCTAGACTTGCTTTCTGAATAGCATTTAATGTATTCATAAGCGGACATCAAATTTACAAGGTAGGGGATTTTTACCCAAAGCAAATAAACAAGGTAATGCATAGATTCTGAAATTTGAAAATTGATTGCTGAATTTATTTGCATTTCATACTAGTACTAAGTTAATATATTTGATTGAGACTCATGCTCATTATTACAATTAATTATTCAATATTAGTTATATAGAAGTAAACAGCTGTACGATTGAAATCACTGCTAAAAGTCAAAAAATCTTGTTATAAATATCAATGCTTAGAACATAAAGTTTATTTTGAACAGTGGATTCTATTTTCATTATCTAAAAGTCCCACTTATATCGGCGGGCATAATAGATAGTTTAATTTTAATTGCTTTTGCAGTCCTATTAAAATTTGTAAAGAAGGTTTTCGGAAAGAAGCAGAAAACTTACTGCGAAATTTAAATGTAAATATCTTGATAAATATGATGAGGAGAAATGAGAAAAAATTGTAGTTTGTGATGAAAATTCCTACTCGGTAATGATATTCGAATTACAGCAAATTATGAAAAGTTTCAAACAGTGAAAATTGTGGGCAGTTTAAATTTGGTGGCTCAACAGAGAGGATAGCTATGAAGATGAGCGCATAGAAGATGTAACTGCTATGCATGATAAAATTCAAAAGTAGGAAGCATTAATTATTGCTGCAGAGATGAAAAAATGTTACTCGTTGCATAGATAATTCATGAATTTCGTAGCGTAGTGGGTAGTGGAAGTAGATGGTTCTTGTGTAGGTATGTGGTGTACCAGAAGTTATTGAGAAAAGTACATTTGTTTAGCATATTGAGTCTACATGTTTGCAACTGATGTTTGAATGAAATATAAATTTGTGATGGCAGTGTTAATGAAATGCATCTGAAAAATATGGCCAAGCTTTTCTATATGTGAGCATTTATAAAATAAAAAGAAAAAAAAGAGGAAAAAAAACTTCACGATAAAATGGCGATGATATTTTGCTGCACCAGACAATTTGAACAAGAAATTTGGTAGCAATGTGGGTGCATGAAAAATCAGCTAAAGTAATCCTTTATTTTCTATACTGTACTCATTACAGTATTGTCTTGTAAATTATGGAGTATGAATTGCTGACAAATGGAAGGTATCAGTGAGTTGTCAAGTTTATACTAGGTAACTGCAACGTCGCAATGAAGTGATATAGAAAGTAGTGAGTAGACGAAAATTGAAATAAGTAAATAGCAAGAGTGAAAATGATGATGAGATGGATGGATTGGATTTTGAGAAAATCTGAGCATTAGCTATCTTTACTGCTTTTAACTGTATTGTAAATAAACTGGAAAAGTTGTTCTAGCTTACTTCTAGTTATTCTTGTCTAAAATAACTGATCTTTTGTACATATTTCCTCGTCTACTAAGCAGTCTGAGCAGACCTTATATTGCCCTTCTTAATTCCTACCCATTTATTCATTGTCTGTTCACCTCATCATCTATTTTTCTGCACTTCAAAGATGTCAACAAATATTACTATCTGCAACAAAACAGTTGTACAGTGTTGGAAAACGTATACCACACGTGGAAAAAGAGGTTTGTTCAAGAAATTATGGACTAAACATACATTAATTGATGCATAGCAATCAATCTCTAATTTATTTTATGAAACTCAATGCAAATGTTTCGTTAGCTGATCAGAGCTCTAACAGGAAAATGAGTAATTACCATAATGGAAGATTACACATATTCATTCATTCACATTCACACGGTGCATTTGCGATACTGAATAAATGGATCAATAACCAATAAATATTACATATGACCGAGCAGTATAGTAGTGATTAACAAGTGTTATACTGAGCAATGGAAATGACCCGTTAATTTCCTACTTTTATATTTACTATAAATCATTGAAGGCTCAAAAAGCTGTCAACACGAAAAGTGACGTTGCTGTGCACACATACTTCAAAGTTTTTTGTCAGTCAGGTCATTTAGTGAGATGTAGCGTATGCACGTCAAAAGCTTATTAAATATAATCGAGAAAAGTGTTCATTAGTAAATAGCAAAATGAACACACTATTCTAGGTGATATCAAAACTATTCAATCATCCATGAGAAAAGGATTTTTGTTTTTAACTTTGGCCACTTTTCATTACTTCTTTTGAGCACCTCATCGTTCTCTACACTTGCTTTTTACTTTTCCCTCATATATGATTACTTTTTTTCATAAATACTCTCAGAAATTTGGTACTTCGTAAAGCAAATTGTGCTTTCAAACTTTGCATCCTAATTTAATTAATTGTGTATGGCTGTCATTAGTATGTGACTTAGTACCACTTTTATATTGAGTAGAAAGATGAAAACGCTTGAATGCACATGCATTAACTTAATTTCTTGAATTGTGCTCTTAAAAATTTTCATTTCTTTCAAGTTTCGAAAATATTGTTTTGGAAATCACTCACAGATAAGTAATCTTAACTTCCTATTCACGTTGGTCAATGTCCATTGAATAATAGCAAGACATTTTCTCTAAAAAAACAGATTGAGAAAGGAAAAAGAAGAGAATGTTATCAAACTGTAAATGCATGCGTAATTTTGAAAAAATTTAAAATTTAGGAAATTAGTAAGTAAAATCTTTTGTTGAGAAGATGGATAAATAAAGGGTCGTACCTTTAGAGTCACAGAATTGCTCGCAGCAAGGCTTTGTTTTAGGAATTGAAGTGCTCAGATCTTGATGGTTTAGCCAGAAAAAATTGGTGGATGAGTGATTTAAATACTGAAGTACCTATATCAGATTTAAATTTATTTCATTCTTGCTTGCTGGCTAGTGAGCATGTATTCTAATAAAAAAGAATGATCAATATGCTGTAATCATTAGCATTAGGCAGTTCACACGTCTCATTTAAGCCATTACTTTTGTCATTTCATTTTTTAAGGGTTTAAACTTGAGCTGTTCGCATCATCTTTGTGCTTCTATTCTTTAGTACTGAAATAAAGCTCCTTGGACTCACTTGTCAGTTCATCCACATACAAGGACACTGAAGCATTTAAAGTTAAGTGATAGGTAAAGTATGAAAAAATTGGATTTTTAAGCTTTCTTTAAATACGTTTGCAAAACTAATACTCGTAAAAAAACAAAATTTGATGAGTTTTTTGCCGTCTTAACACTTACTATTTAAAACTATTTGCTTTTGAATTCCCTTCTCAATTTAGGGTATTAAAAAATCAATTTCTACATCAGATTGATATTATTTAAGTTTAGTATTCTGTTTTGAATCTATTCAACGATGTATGGGTGAAGAATGTAGGTAGTAAATTTTGTATTGCTGCACTTTTAAACATACGGTTAAAAACCGAGAAATTGCAAAACCAGCGCTCTGTGAAAGCAAAAATGAACTCTATTCTCTCTTTCATTTATAATTATTGTAATTTCCTTATGCAGTGTCTGCCATTTGATGAACGGGCATACTGAGCATCGAGGTGGTGAATGGGGTTATCATGAGCTGTATCGTTCAACAATGCAAGCACTGGAAGGGCGATGTTCCACTCGTTCTAATGCTGCAAAAGAATTCGAAATGCAAATTCGTGAATTCACTGCTACTGTAAGTCTTCTTTCCAGATAAAACTTCTATTACTAAAATATCATTTAAGAAAAAGATTGATGAAAAAATATTCAAATTTGTAATCAAAAAATAGTTGAAGGAGTATACACTTTGCTGTCAAGTGTAAAAAAAGTTGCCATAGCGATATCTCAATTTATGTGAAATCTTCATTCCTAAACATATTTGACTCTTCGTTATTTGCTTCGATTCAAGCATAATGCGAGCATATTTTTTTACAAAATTTATCTTTTACGTGTAGCAATTATATTTGGTCCTTAAGGGTTAATATAATTTGTTGAAAACAATGAAATGATCAAAAAACCTTTTCCGAATGCATTTGAATACTTAATGAGATTCATGAGAATGAGAATGTTATTCGAGGAAAATATTGGTTCACCTAAATGTCCTTGAAACATAAGTCATTGTATTGTTTGATTACAATGTATATAAATGGGATTTTAACGAGTTTATCAAATTTCAAGAGCAAAACGATAAGATTTTAATTATTTGGCATCTATTCATCTCAGTTGCAGTTAGAATGTTACCTGGTTGATGTTCTGCAGAAGCGTCTTGAGGAATTGAATGAACCAGATCGTTTGCTCATTTCAAGATTGAATAGAGTTCGTCACATTTTAATATTTTTTTAAATCCCAATTATTTTCTTTTTTAATGTGAGATTCAAATATGTCATTCTGTTTCCTGTGTCTCTCATCTAAATGCTATCTGAGTCAATTTATTGAATTATTAAAGAATTAATCATAAGTGCTAATTCTTTGAAGAATTGTGGAATAATCATAGGCTATTTGAGGAATCGTTTTTCAGTGTCTTTCATTAAATACTTAGTACAAATCGTCTACATATTTATTTATTTCCAAAATAAAATTGAGGAATTAATTTGCTACTTGTTTGCTAATGGTTTTGAAGATTAAATACTTGAGTGTAAATGTTGTAATAGGATGATTTTACTTTTAAGAAATTGAAGTTGCGATTTGCTTGGCTTATTTTCTCGTATTCACAAGTTGTAGCAATAAACTCAACAAATTTCAGGCTTTGTGTGAATTGGGAGACAATAAGTCATCAGTGCTTAGTCGACCCATCTATCACATGCTCTCTCCAACTAGGCCAGCTCATCGAGTTTGGACTATGTGCACGAAAGATCCTGAACGGTAGGTTTAAATTTGTCATTTATATCAATAATAAGTATTGGGATTGTTGAAGAGAATTTTTATATAAAATTCGTTTTTTCTTCATATAAATAAGCTCTTGACATTTATTAATTCTCATTATTCACTTATTTAGATTGAGAAATTTGGTTTCTGAAGTCTGTCAAATGGCAAATATCACGTTTGAGAATAAAGATGTAAGTTGCTTTTGCTATTTTAATCACTCATGGTCATTATTTGCGTTAGGAATCATCCTCTGAAATATTTTTTTAAGGATGCAAACTTTTTGTATATGAAAGTAAACAAGAAGATAAGAGTAAAAGGATCGTTGATATGAATTTCCAAGAAGGGTCTTCTTTTTAGGAGCACAGTTCTTGTGAAGTCAAATTTAGTGTTTTGCCTCCATCATCCTGGAGTGCTTCCGAATGTGCGAAATATTTGCTTGAAAAAAAAGAAGTAGCGGAAAATTCTCAATGTGAACGACGAGCACAACATTTTGGCAGCTATCGTAGTATGAAACATGGGTATTATATTTTCTCCATATTTCTCAATATCTATTTATTTGAAGCATAATCTTTTACTACTAAATTCAGTTGTTCCAAAAAATTTAAAATTTCTGTTTAGTCTATCGAAAATTAAGTGACGAGATATTGGTTCATCAATTTTGTCTTTGCTAAAATTTGTATTGTATAGCACTTGTCACTTTTTACCTAGTTGCTGCATTGTCATGAATGTTACATTTTATAATTTATCTCGCAAGGAAAAAAGTTGGAAGATTCACTGTTTCATTTTTAAATTTGGAAGAGCCTTTTATTGTAATATTGTCGTATCATTTCTGAATATGTATACTTTTCTTTAGTTTTACACTCATAAAATCGTCATCTATTACTTCACAACGATCAACATCTTCACTTCCAACTCGTGTTTCTCCGGACCCGGACCCTTCAAATCATTTGAAAAGCGATTTGTCAATAGATCTGAAGTCATTTAGTGAACTGCCTAAAAACAAAACAGATACTAAAAAAGCAATACCAAATGGACAGTTGCCTGCGGAAGGTAACAAGTCACAAGTGCCATTAGAACCATATGTTTATGTGAGTTTTTTATTTTTAATCTTGAAATTTGGTAGTGGTATAATTACATCAACCAACATTTTTTATGCTTGTTTATTATTCATTCATTGGATGTATTTGTTGAATTTTTGTGTGACTCGAATTCACTTTGCTTATTGACGTGTTCATCCAATTTTTGTAATTTTAGATTCGGGAAATGAGGTACCAGTCATTTAGAGAATCTTCTCTCACTGATGAATCAGATTCCGCCTGCGCCTTAAAGGAGGAAACTTTTAAGTAAATTTCTGTTATTGGTCTTAATCTGTGATATATTGCAGTCTAAAATTAAATATCATTATTTCATGTTGCTTTAAAAAAGCGCTTCCATTACCTATTCATTTGACAAAGTACTTTTTTGCCGAAGGTCTTAATATTAAATATTTGTTGATAGCAAAAAAAAAGTCGCTAATGTTTTTTGATGGAAATCTTTAGCTTTATATTCAGCATTTTCAGCTCAACCAGCCCATCAGCGACATCGTCTATTCCAGTCTACCAAACGGATACTTCATTTGATAGTCATGATGTAGTAATTCAAACGTATTTTTGGAATATTTTTTATAATGACAAATTAAATTAAGAAGTACTGTACTTGAAGTTGTAACTTCGTTTTGAGATTTTTGAAATCAATGTGGTGAAATTGCTATCAACGTATAAACTGTTATGCAAAAATTTTAGGAATTTATTTCAATAATATGAATTATAGTTACAAGCTCCATTGTGTGAAGAGACGACATTGAGTTGTGACCCTTCAACATCAACTACTATCACAGCAAGCAATCAAACAACCGAGCCAAATTTTGTACGTTTAGGTGGACTATTGTTTTCGCGACCAATTGATGTAATTGCTTTGCCCAACATCTTTAGCAAAAAGCAATTGCTTGCTGTTTCAGACAGTTGTGGAGGTATGTATTCAAGAGAATTTTTGAGCCATAATGATATGAAGCTTCACGCGTAATTAGTTTGTTATTTAGTAAGTTAGTAAATGGTTGCCTCACATTATTTTGATTGGTATTTTAGGAATCACGCGTAAGAAGATTAATGACCCTTGTTTCTCATAATTAAAAAAATTTTCATTCATGTTTCTTCTGCATGCTTTTATTTTTTCAGTTAGTTAAAAAAAGTTTCATCTTCAGGTGTATTTATAATAACGACCAACGGAGAAGTAATACAACATTTGCCAGCTCGAGATAGTTCAGCATCATCATTAACTGTTGATCCTACAAACTGGCGTCTTTTAGTCAGTATGATGCATAGCAAGGGACGAAGTATTCATGCTTTCGATATAACAAATCGTTTCAAAAGAGTTGAGGTATCGGCTTTTTGAAAATTCAAATCTTCAGTTTTTGAAATCTCGTTAAACTAAATATTTTTTTAATGAAATTTGTTATAATCTAAAATAACGATTTGTTATATCGTTGCTGATCTAGAAGCATTTAGATTTCCAATTTGTTCTTCCTCATAAGCACTTATTTCATACATTTTTTGAAATAAATTTGCTTGTATGTGAGTGCATCAGATTCAGTCTTAAAGGTAATTCCATGTCCAAAAGAACCGAAAATTGAACTCAGTAGAACTCGTTGGATAACAGTTAGTCCACATGGCGAATTATTTGTGGTCTCTGGAGATAATCATAGGTCTGCAATATGGATGTATAATCGATCGAGGAAAGTAAAGTCTATTACACCTTTAATTTGGATTTTTAAATGGAGTGATATCATCAGTTATTGGTTAAACTTATAAAGTTAACAAAGATGTATTTTCAACTTGTATTCAATGATTAATTGATAGGGATGGAAAATTCTAAAAGAATCAAAGAAAACTCGCTACCAGTATCTTCGAGTGGCAGAAGATCAAGCCGAATACAAGTTTGTTATGCTAATTTACTTTACTAAAAAAAGCTGCACGTAAAGATGTTTGCATTTCTAATTTGGTTTAATTTTTTTCATTGCGAAAGAGTTGATGATTATGGGAAACAATTATTGTAAACAGTTTTCTTGTATTAATTTCTGCAATTCTTTGAGGTATATTAATTCAGTCATATAATTTTATGTTTGGTTATTAAAAGAAGTTAGGCTCTTTATTTATTCTTTTAGAATAATTTTGAGTTACGAATTTATTTTCAGGGCAGTAGTACTTTTAACATGTGATGCTGCTCAGAATCGCATATTATTGTTCGTCGCAGATTATACAGGAACTTTAATTAACGAATATGACTTGACAAAAACATACAAATTAGATGAATGTATTAAAAATCCAGCCAGTGCTATTGTTGACTCGGTGAGTTTGAAAAATTCAGCTTTTTTTATTGTGATTAATCTTAACTTAAAGTGTTTTTGTTTTTTTTAAATTTGAAGCTAACCAAGGCTCTTATTTTTCAGTTAGGGAATTTATTGATGCTTGATTATTCAACGAGTCGTTTATGGATCTTACTTAGTGGTGCACAAGGAACTCGTTATATGAAAGAAATCATCATCCCACTTCCCCTTGGTCCTCAAGAAACTCTTGGAATTGCTTCAAATGTGAAACATTGATTTTCATTTGTTTTTGTAGCTTGTTTATGGAATAAGTATTTAGCTTTATTTCTGAAATATATTTTATTCTATAGTTTTTTGAAAACCTGACAGCGCTCAATAGTTTTCAGAATAGATTTGGTAGTTTTTTCAAAATTCGACTTTCACACCACTTTTACTTACATTATGAAGTCTTTTTTGTGCAGGTGTAAATAATAGTTTATTTCTTCTGTAAACTTGTTATGTGAAAGGAATCATTTCTTTTCTTTTGGTCCTCGAGAAAATCTTGGAATCCGATGCGAGAACAGCTTTTTGACAGTGTGATAGTGTGGGAGTGGCAAAATAAGCGCCAGTTCTTTGCTTACTGACTAAATAATGGATTCGCTTTTTGTTCTGCGTGTTATTGTTTCTAAAATTGTAACTGCCGTATGAAACACTTTTAGACAAATTGGCGTCTTGCTTTTGTTACTCCTGTAATTAAATGAGCATTCATCCATTAAAGAAGAAGTCTCACTTTTGGCATTTGCAAATAATATTTATAAATTAAAAAGTATTAAAACTGCACTTTTAAAACATTTGCTAGAATTTCTTGAATAGTGCAAAGGACGAGAGAAGTGAATTTTCAATGTCTTTTGAAGCATTACGTAGTACTTGCGAGTTTTGTTTTATTCAAACTTATTTTTATGCATTCAATAGTAATTTTCGCTTCTTTGCAGGGTGATTGGGTTTATGTAACATGTTTTGCTCGTCGTGAAGTTATTGGTATCAGATATTTGGTAAATGGCTTTCTGGCACCTTCATGCGTCACAACAGTCAAAGGAACACCAGTGTCTGATCGAAGAGCTACTTCGTTACCAAGACCGACAAGGAAACCGAATAATGTTTAATAAGTGTGAAGCGGTTGTAAATTTTGTTTTGTACGATTCGTAATCATGAGAATTTCCTTTTTGATGCAGAGCTGAATTCACGTCAACCAAAAGTTGTTTTCTTATATGTTATAGAATTGTAATCAGTATAGTCTTCATCTTTACTTTGAATTTTTTGATACTTTGATAAGAGCAAGTGATGTCAGTCTTATTATTGATTCGTTCCTTTGTCTTATGATGTGCTCAACCTATAATAGTTTTTCTGCAATTTGTCCTGTTCCTCAGTTAGTGCTAATAATTTATGCTTTCCATCTTGTTGTGCTAGTACTACTCATCAACTATCATATTGTTATTCCAAATTGTCTGTGCCTTCTTCTTCATAAATGTTCTGTATCATAGTTGTAATTATCTTTAGCTTTTTCAGCATTTTTGTGTCCTTTTCTATCAATCATATTTACTGTTTGTTTGGATCCATTTCTTGTGGCACTATTCTGAAAATAGTGGTACTTTCTCAAATCGTTTCAAAATGCCAGTCATTTTGATGATGCAAGCCTTTTGTTGAAACTAGTTTGATCAGCATTACTTTTTTGCATTGCTAATAGTAATAGTCAGGAATGTGTTGAAAATTGAATTGGATAATGCCAAGATATCTTTTTGAGAATACGAGCTATTTTGCATATGGCAGAGAAAGGTGCTATTTCATTAATGATCGAATCATCGTATGTGTTTTAGCTCATTCACGTCTATTTAAAACTAAAATTCGTCACAGCAGATGTACTGAAAATTTTGAGAAGTATGACCTAATCAAATTGTGACAAAGATGTTTTACTTGTAAGTGTGGATGAGTGCTATTGGAGTAGTTTTATTAAATAGTAGGTATATTATTTTGATTATTGTACACTGTGACAGAAAGAATTTATTTCATTTGGATGAAAAAATACAATTCAATAGTAATTTGTATGATTTATTATCACACATATGCTACAACATCATTCTCTTTGATATAATGTCCTAAAAATGAGAGGAATAGGTTTTGAAAAGAGATGTTTCCAAAAGTGTTAAGTACATTCAAGTACTTAGAAGATTTCATGAACGTCTTCATCACGTTTATTTTTCGTAGACTTAAAAAGCTTGGTTTATTTTTGGTGCATTTTGTCATTTTATTCGTCCTCTTTTTTTGTCCAGTACTAACTTCTCACTTGCCTTTACTGCTTGCTTTATTAAATTGCATCATTATGAATTATGAAGCTGAATTGATTATGTTATTTGCCTTGGATATATATATATATATAGTTGTGATACTTTTTGCCTATTAAAATGTTTCGTCTTGTAGATCCATCTTGAAAATTGCATAAATTATATATTTTGAGCTTGTCTTACAAGTAAATACTGTGTCAATGGATTTTATTCAACAATTGGAAAACAATCGTAATGCTTAAATTTTAAAGGAAAAAAAAAGTCTGGGCTATTGTAATGCTGATTGTTCATTCGACTAAATTTTATATTTATTAAGTAGTGTGATATTACATCGTAGTAGATGATTATAGCAAGTGGTGTAAGTGAATTTGACCAGTATCAAGTACTTGAAGAATATCATCATGATATCCAAAAAGATCAGATATTAGATTTGTGTAATAAGTAAATCTAGTCAATGCATATAATATTATGTGATCATTTTTTGACCGCTACGGTTGAATATGATGTGGTTCTCATGAGATTCAAAAGAACCAGAATTGGAATGGACGCAGTGCAAGATATTTCTAGATAGCACATTTATATTATTTAGATTCACAATATTTGATATAATCATTTATCTCACAATGGAATGTTGCAGTATCTAACAAATAATTATACGTTTACATATTTATCTATTAATGAGTAGGCTTATTTGTTGCACAAAATTTATTACTTGCTGCTTATTATAATGGAACAATTTATGAGTAATGGAACGGCTAAATTTTTTTCACCGTTTAATTATTCTGTAAGTACAAAAAGTATATAATATATATGATAATTTTATTTTAATTCAAGTCTGATTTTAACATTTATATGGTTTCTTGCAATGATATCACATTATGTTTACTTTACAAAAAAAGAAATGAGATGTTTACAATTTAAAAATAGCAACTGGATTTTTCAAATAATTCATTTCTTCATTTGTAGCTTTTTTTATATTGCAGTTTTAGCATATGAAAAATTGCCATTATTTAATTCCTTGTTAGTACTACAAGTACTTTCAACTACCGCTTTTAAAAGTTAGTCTTTTTTTACATAAGCAGTAAACTTCTTGCAAATTCTGATAGTTTTATCTCTTTTTCCATTTAACATACAGAATGAATTACAACTTTTTATAAGTAATAACTTCTTGCATGACAAGTATTACTGAAATTATATATAAGGTATTTCTCAGAATAAAGAATGAATGAAGCATTGGACAATGCTAAATCTGCAGCATTAGCAAGTGGTTTCAATGAAAAACAATCACGAACTGGTATAAAATGTAACAATTTCTAATAAAGACAGTATATGATTTGAATTTCGCTTTTTCATATCACATTTTAAGAATACTTTCATTTATTTGTTTTTTTGATTCAAAAATCAAAATACAACCATTTAGCAAACTGTTTTGTTTTAAAAAATAAAATTAAAGTAATTCAAAAACATTTAAAAATTTTTTTACAGTTTTATAACTTAGATTAGCTATCAGACAGACTGCTTGTTACTAGTGAAACCGACTTGTTTAATTGTGAATAGCTTTTTTTCACGATTGAAAAGCAGCAATTATAGCTTCATGATTCGAATTTTCAAAGCAAAAAAATAAAAGTTAACCTGTTTTTATTAGTATTGATAAACATTAACTTCTTGCAAACATACATAGTATCATTTTCACTTTTTTCCTTTTAGTACTGCGAAGCATTACTTTTTGAAGTAGCTAAATTTATTTGCAGCAAAGTTTACTTTTTGTTTTTTATTACAATAAAAATATATACTAATTATTAAAGTATAAAAGCATTCTCTTCTTTTAAATTATCAAATGTTTTTTATAATTCATTATTTTTTACTACGAACTTTTAGCTTTCAGTTTGGCTTTTGTTAACAAAAAATCTAAACATTTTACATTATTAGTATTTATTTGGTTATGAATTTTTGCTCAATTTAACTGTTTGAAATGACTAACCATTTACTTAACATGCTTAGTGCTTAGCGCTTAGTACTTAGTGCTTAGTGTTAATATCAGTTAATCAAAATTTCTATCTATGCTTGAATTATTTCATTTCTTTTTTTTCAAAACTCTCAGTTCTTGAACAACTAATCCAATGGAGCATTCAATTTTTTCAGTTATTTAAATTGTATTTAAAAGTATAAAAAGTTTTGCAGTACTCATATTGATAGAGTTAAATCATGTATATATACCACTCCAATGTAAACTTAACGATTTAATGCCTTCACATGCAAATTTTTCATCTCTAAAAATATTTGCAATTGTAATAAACAAATAAAAAATAAGCGATCACTTAAAATGACGTTAGAATGTGACAAATTTTTTAGTTTATTAATAAAAAATTTGAAAGAGAATAAGATAAAACATTGCACACATAAAATTTACTTCAATTTTTTTAGCAAAAAAAATAGACGCTTATCAAATCATAACAAGATCTGTGAAAACTTTCAAGTTTTTTAAATAGTTCAAAAACATTTTAGGCATTCCGAATAGTTTTATTGGATGAAACAAAGCTGTCCGATCTAATCTGTTTGTTAGCTCTGATTTTTTATAGTATCAAAGGAAATAATTCAGTCCTAAAAAAAGAATAATAATTTACTAAATTTGAATATACTGCAAGCCAACAAATGGAATAATTTTTTTCGCAAATTTTCAAGATTATGCAAATTAGCAAATATTTTTTTTTACATTTTGACATAATTTTTCTTGCATTCAAAGATTCTAGCAATGAAAATCATAAAAAATTAAAAGAATGAACTTATTAACTTATCAAAAATGTTTGCTTTGTAACAAATAATTTGCTTACATAGCGTATACTTCCAAATTTTGATAAGCACGTTGTAGCTGTGATATTTTCAACTGAGAAGCATAAATAAGTTAGTTCAAAGCATAAATGAGCTAGTTCATAACAATCAAAAAGTTGTTAAACAAGTTTTCGACCCAACACCATATCATATCACTAGCTTTTCGTCAGTCACTCTTATATGTGAGTAATTACTACTTTACCTTTCATTATGACATCAAAAAAATGCTAGTAATAAATAAAATGCCATTATATCCGTCATATCTTAATTCATTATATAGTGCTATTTGTACAACGAACAATCACATTATTTTAAAACTATTAAAATCATTTTTAACTGAAAATAAGCATGATTAAAGGTAGGATTTAAAAGTGGAATAATAACTTCAAAATTTACAATTAGTTAGCTTAATTTTGAAAATACTTAAATCACAAAAATATGCATCGTCTAATTTCAGTAGTTTGAATTGATTTCTTTAAGTTTGAAGATCTTATGACACTTTTATAATTTAATAACTAAGGATGGAAAGTATGCTAAATGTCAAATTTATCAGCATACTTCGTTAAATTTAATACTTTTTGAAATTCTATACTGTAATTATACCATTACAGCAACTTTACTACTTGTCTACTTTATTTACTCATTTTTGAATTCTGTGAGTGTCGTTTACTGCGCAAATATTATTATTATAATTATTATTATTATTAATATTTTGATAGTAAGTACAATAATATAATTAATCAAGCAACTTTCAAGACAAATTTAAGTAGTCTGACCAAAAATCTTATCTAACCCGTAAAATCACTTTGAATAGCAAATAATAAATTGAAAAAGTTAGAAAAAAGACAAAGCTTCAAATTGTGTTCAAAAAGCACTTTTGAGTCAAAAATAAATTAAGGCCAAATATTATTTACATTTCTGTCAAAATTATATATATATATATATATATCAAATTTTCTTTAATTTTCTTCAGACATTTATTTCTTTTGAAAATTTTTTCTAACATTTCAATCAAACTTATCATTTTGACGTTGAAAAATTTTGTACTAAAAAGATTTCACTAAATTGTTCAATTGTTTAAGTAATAATTTATTCATTAGTTTTATAAAATAAGCATGAAACATTTGTATATTTGGAATGAAAACTTACCTTTTTGCTTGTAACTTTTGACTTTTTAAAATGATTAAGTGTAATTATACAAACCAGAATTGCAACGTAATTAATTTTACCAAAAGTTTGATTGCTAAATTTGATTGCGGAAGCTAATAATAATTACTTAGTAATTTACGAGTAATTAATCAAAGATAGATAAGATTTTTTAAATGGAATAATACTGGCGTTACTTACTTTGTGTAGCAATTTTAAACTTGTTTAACAATTTATTAAAGTGTTAGCAAATTTGACGAACACATTGTCGTTGAGTATTTGCTTACTTACTTCTCGTGAATACTAAAGTGTTAGCAGTGTAATGCTAATGCTTAATGTGAGAAATATACAAATTAAGAAAATATTGTTCAGCTTGAGTGACTAGTAATAAATATTATTATAATATATATTTTAAATATATATCATTATTAAGTATAAATATATATATCATTATGTTATCATTATTAAGTATGAAAATTTGTATATATAATATTATTTAATAATATTTATTAATGATTAAAATTGTTTCTTATGTACTTTTGCGTACTAAATTATTCTTTTTCAGATAAATCAAAATTCACAGAAAATAAATAAATACTCAACAACAAATTACCATCGAATTTCATTGCATAATCATTTATATTTAGTGATGTCTTTGATGAAAATATCAGTTGAAGAAGTAATTGTACTAGCAACAATTTTGCCCACATTCTTTATGCAACAAACCATTGGGCAACAACATTTTACACCGGTTTTTCTTATTTCTTCTTTGTTAATTGTATATTCTTTTGTTTCTTTCATTATGATATAAATAAATAAATATTAAATTTTGCTTAATGCGAAATTAATTAATCAAAATTTTAACAGAAATAATAATTAAAAATAATGAATACTAAAAATTCAAATCCTTTTAACTTTTTACAAAATTCATTCATTATTTTGTCAAGATTGTATACTATTTTAAAATTTGTATTTCTTTACTTCAAATTATAAAACGAACTGAAATACACTAAATGCGAATTTTATTTGAAGTGTTGATTTTAGACAATAAATGCTTATCTTTTTGTATTATAATGATAATGAATTTACTGATATTTTAATCAATGCTAAGCGAAATTTTGATTGCAAAAGTTAATTTTTGTTTTATACATTTCTTTTTTGCCTTTCATTTTTTCCCGCCTTTATACTGAATAATTTCAAACTATTTCACTAGTTTCAGGACTTTCGAACTTCAACTCCAATAACTACAAATACTCAAAATTTTCTTGATAGAAAGAAGTAAATTTCGAAAACAATTGCTTACTAAAATGAATATTTTTGTCTTTAATTTTTTGGTTATCACTAACTTTTGTACAGTAATTTGCACTGCTAGCTACTTTATCAGTTCATTATGAGGTGAGTATCAAAAATTTGCTGCTTATTTATCTAACAGTTTCATTTTTTTCACAAATCTTATCAAAAATTAATTGCTGTGTCGTATTTACTTGATAACGCTTAACTAATTATTTCATTTTCAATTTTAATTACCTATATTAGACCTCTCAAGCATGACTTTATAATCTTAGGATTTTTGCAACTTTTTTTTCCACGCACGCGCCTTTTTAATTTAGTTAATATTTATATTAAACTAATTGTAAAAATGCATGATAGCCTTTCTATGACAAGATTAGTAGAAACAATGAGAGAATAGTTTTAGATAATTTCAAATATCAAAATATAATTTTCAGTCTATTGCAATCACAAAGAAATCAGCAAATACATCAAAGATCTAGGATATTGAATAGTTCCTCAAGTAATGGACCTACCCAACAGGTAATAATAAATTATACGGACTGAAATAAATATTGCTGCATAATATTTTGTTTTTAAAACCAAACATTATATTTATTATCACTAATTAATTTATTTTTAAACATTTTCAAGTGCTTACTAATATTATCAATTTATTTTCACGATTATTTAAATCTTTTTTACATACACTTTCAGATTATTTTACAACCAGTCCGACTTCGTCAAGAGCCAGCACAGCACAGGTTCATTGTAAATTCGAAGTTAATTACAAAATTTGTAATCAAATAATCCAAAGAAACAACAAAACTCCAAAGTTCAACACTATTCCTTAGATTAAAATTCATAAGAATACAAAATTAGCGCATATTTGAAAAAAAATAAGCGAAAATTTTGCAATAAAACAAAACAGAAATAAATGATAATTTTTTTAAACTTTTGCTAAAACTTTTTCTAAGGTGACCAAAAAAGTCTTCAGAAGCTGTTTGGCTAAATAATAGTAATACTGAGCTTCTATATAAACGCTTTCAGCTACAATGACTAATTTATGTAAGCAAAATGTATAGGTTTTTTATTAGCTGGTGTCTTTCAAGTAAAGTAAAAAGTGAACAAAAATTATTTCTTCGAAAAGTAAAGCTATAGAAATCAGGGATTGCATGATCTAGAATATCTCATAGTCTTGAAAATAGCAGTTTAGGAGGAAATATTGAGAACTTACAAAATTGCAAGCATTTTTAACAAAGTGATCTATTATTTTTTAAACTGTTGGTAAAAGTTAACTCAAAAAGCATTGCTATGAATTCTTTAAAACATAAATACTTTTGTTAATTTTTTTTCTATGAATCTTTTTAATTAATTTTTAAAAAAGTAAAAGTAATAATTATAAAAATAAGATTTTAGGTCAGTTGGTTTTGGTAATAGGCGCCCAATTATTATTTGGAAAGATAGTGCTACAAATAATGCACACTTTCCATTACTTACAAGCAGACCTATGCTACGAAATGTAAGCAGATCACCTATGATATTACATTCTGTTCCATCTTTCACTACAAAAATGCCTTCAATTTCTTCAACGCATCCTTTACGTATCGTGGCTTCTTGGATTGTACCTTTAAAACGAGTAAAGCCTTCACATCATAAATTACCAAATTCTATACAATTTCTCACAACTGTACTTCCTATTCAAATTCAAAAAAGATTATCAAGTAGAAAAATCATTCAACTTCAACAGTTGACTTTTGTGCACAAATCATCTACGTCACCTATACCAAAATCTTCTCTACCATTTACACTTTCCACAGTTGTTTTAAATGATCAACCAAGTGCAACCAGCTTCAAACCTATGCTTACATCCTCAAATTTTATTACAATAAAAAATTTCACGACTACCACACCAACTTTTATAGTCAAAACAGTACCAAAACTAAAAGAGACTAAATTAGTTAAAGTCAATTCTGATTCGGAGTTAGCAAAAAACGAAAATTCTACAGAGGGTAACTTCAACAGTTCTTTAATTTCATCAAACAATCTTGGTGATAACAAACTCCACGCAAAAAATGCAAAAGGTAAGCTATTTGTTTTGAAAATAAATCTTTAACTTAAATTATTTCCAAATTAATCAGTTTTTTAAAAGTTTGCAGAGCATACTGAATTGAAATTCAGTGAATAAAATACAAAATCAACTAAATTTTGCACATTTTTTAAAATCGTGCCGTCTACTCTACCAAATATTCAAAAAAAAAAAAAAAAAATTCTCAGACAGAAAAGTTTTTCTGCTTATTAAATATTTTATTAGTTATTTAGCTAATAATTACTCAAAAATTTTCTATTTATTACATTATTCTTGAGTGCACTATATTGCTTCTATATTTCAATATAGAGAATAAATTATCATTAGTATTTATATGATTTAATCTTTTATAGAGAACAACATGACATTTTCTCGAAGTGATGAAATAGCAGAGGGATCTGAATCCTTGAATGAATCTTCTTCACTAGCTCCTCTAATATTTGGTACAGAATCACCGAAAGATTTACGGAATTTTGGCAGTTCACCCGGTTTCTTACCTCCAAGTGATGCAGTAGTCAAACAGTTAAACGATGCTTCGGATTTTTTGACTATAGCCAAAGCTATGAATTTACGAGAAACTATTAAAGGTGCTATAAGTTAAGATCATATTACTGCTGCCAAACTTTGAGTTAGTAAAAAAGCAGAAAAAAAACCCTGCATAAAGTCAAATATAATAAACGTGTAACTCTTGTTTTTTGATTATACTATGTAATGAAAAAATTTGAATTCAAGAAGTGTGCATATATCAGAATCGAGCATTTCTGCTATAAGAACAAAATTTTTGGATTAATATTTACAAGTTAAAGTTTTGTTTTTAAACTAAATAATAAATCAAAAAATCGAATTGCTTGAACTTAAATATTACTTCTTAAACAGAACAATTGTGACAAATTTCAAGTATCCAAAACTGTAGCACTGACTATTTTTTACTAACTTGAAAATTTGAACAATTTGATATCTTTTAATTTGTTGCTCATTAGTTTTTTGTGTGTGCGTACAATATGTAAAAAATTCAGCATGCAAGCGCCATATTCAAATAAAGAATTTATAATAATAAACATAACTGAAAGATTTGTTCTTGCAAAGTAGAATTCAAATTGATATGAAAGAAATAATTAGCTAAACATATATTTTCAATTAAAAATTATAAAATATGCACAATTTGTTTAGATATAAAGCAAAAATCAGACTTTTACTGAAAAAAAATTTATAAACTTTTTTATTTACTTAATTGTGACACAAATAAGCAATTGCATAGTGTAAGAAAAATGGGATAAATTTTGTTCACATTTAAAATAAGCTAATTCATTGCATCAGAATATCAATTATATCATAATATTTGATGTTCCTTTAAAAAGTATTTTCTCCATTTTAATTGACTATATCTTTTTTGCTTTGTCATCAGCGTTTGTCGAAGTGATATCTGTAATATGAAATAATTGAAAATTTTAATTGATACATAATTAATTATTTAATTGATAATTGATTAATAATTATCGGTACAAATATTAGTAGTAATAAGGATAACAAATTAACTTGACTTTAACAATTATTTTTGCATTTATATTTTCAAAAACAATTCATGCTTAAGTTTTGACTTCTTGCTAAATAACTCAAGCTTGTTTTATAATTTGCTAGAAGTAGAACAGAAAACACTAGAGATTCCTTACTAGCTGATGAATAACTCCGAGACATTGCCTTCTCAACTGTCTTCACAAGTTTTGGTGTTTGTATGTGCGTTGAAATGTGACATATTTTTTCTAAATCTTTTTGTTCTTCAGCATTGTCTTTTTTATTCATTTTTCCATCTTTTTTTAACATTTCCCTGAAAAAAAGAAACACACTGAAAGATACTCAATAAGGAGATTAATTTTGAGAAAATTGTAGGCCATAAAATAACATATATCATCGTTATCAATACTGCTGTTGAGAATAACTATCATTATTATCACTATTATTAATAATAATTGTAAATAATAAATAGTAAAAACTTGCGATACAAAGAACGAAAATATGAATTTGTATCAAAAATATAACTCAATTTTATATATACAGCAATTAATTTCAATATTTCTGCAAAGGAGTAAAGTTAATCAAAAAATGAAATCACAATTACCGAGCTTTTTTTTTCAACAATTGTTCAGCATCTGGATAATCCTTAATTACATCATTGAGATCTTCTTTGGAAAGAACAAATAATGTTGAATAACCTTTTGAACGGATGTTCGCAGTTCGTCGATTATTTCCACCGATGGCAAGTAAACTTGAAAATTAGAAGCAAAAGTTTAAAAAATGGACAGGAAAAAACTGCAAATACTAGTTTAAATTTGTTTGTGACAAATATGGATAAAATAAATTCAATAATGAATGATTATTAGAATTATAACTTAATTAAGTAACATTCAGTGTTTATTGAAAGTTTAACTTTAAAATTTTTATTTTTTAAAATATAAACAAAATCTTAGCAGCACACAACTATTCTATTAAATAGCTAAAGTAATCATAGAAGCAAAATGTTACTTACTCACAGTCATATTTATAAATTATATTAATGACAAAATTTAAAAAGTTATTATTGACTAATTAAACTAATAAATTATCAAATTCATTAGCAGAAGTTCAGATTATGCTTTAAGGTATGAACTGTTGATACAATTTTAAATAAGATAATAGCATCAAGTAATTTGATATTATCACCTAATTTCCCCAAAAACTGATCCTTCTGTAAGTTCAGCAAAAACTTGGCTATTCTGTTCGCCACCAACTACTTGTAAGATACCATCATTGACAATATACATTTCCTTGCCAACATCACCCTAAGCAAAAATTTTAAGCATGGAAAATTCTATTTTTTTGTTAATACAATCAAGTTTTGTGATCAAAAGTTGCTACTGATTTGATAAATTTTAATTACAAAAAAGAACAATATTTTGTAAATTATTTGCTTTGTGTTATTTTGTGAATTTTCTTTTTCAAATTTTTCAAAAGTTAAATTGTTGAAATGCGTAAAAAATAAAATTCTAAAAAAATTACTTTTTTACAAATCATATCGCCAGGAAGGAATATTACCGGTCGAAGTTTTAGAACTAATTCTCTAAGCAAAGCTCGATCACAATCCTTAAGTACTTTATAGCATACAAAAATAAAGAAATTGAGGTGAATAAAATTTAGTTTTAAATTACTAAATAAAGTAGAATAAAAAGAAAGGAAAAAGATTTACAAAATTACTCGAAAAAGTTGAACTTTGCTAAGCGTATTGTAATGAACAGATAAAGCTAAATCTGTTTGCAGCTTTCTTGGTAGTTTTTCAACTAATTTTTTTTCATCTGAAATGTTTTAAATTTATTTTTTACTGCTAAAAAGTTGTTTTGTTTCTTTGAAAAACATTATGTTAACTTTTTGATTGTATTAGTGATACATTATTTACAAGTATTTTGTAGTGACCTTATAAAGATAATATTGTATTCATGAATAAAAATGATATTTGTTTTAAGAATCATTAATATTCTTGAGCACACCTAAAGTTTTTTGTTTTTGCCACGTGTAAATAAACCAGTCCCTTACACGGTCAACAATATCTTTAGATAAGCCAAGTCGTTTACATTCTCGTAAAACTTGATCCATCGTTTGTCGATACTGCTCACGATTACGATTTGCATTTGAAACAATATCACGGATCTGAAATGAATTTAAACTCTTTTTCAATCTTATATCATAAAATTTATGCATACTTTAACAATTTTTGTCTCCGTAAAAGTAATTTTTTCTTATTGAAAGAAAAAAAAAAGTTAATAAAATGAGGTCAAAGGATCAAAAATTTTTTATCTCAAACTTATCTGTCCAAGAAGTAAAGCAAAAACAAAAACGCCCATCATCCATGAAAATGTCATGTAAATATATTCAACAACATTTGTTGGTGCTGGATTATTGCCTGTTGAGGTTGCTACAGCTGCCGTAAAATAGAAACAGCGGATATAAGCATTTCCTGAAATTTCTCATTTACACCAAATATTAATAAATAATTTTAGTTCAAAAATATGATTTAAAATTATAAACAGTTTTTCATCCATTTATTGTAAGAAAATATTGAAATACTTATTAAAATTTTTTTTCTCAATGCTGCATCATTTTTTTAATTTAATTTACCTTGATTATTATAAACCCATTTATTTAAATACCATCTATTGTTCATTCTGTAAGCAATTTGTCCAAAAGCTTGCCAAGCACTAAGCATGTAATAAATACAACTATTACAGTGAATTAAGTAAATCATATATGCTAATGTTTTTGTTATTCTGAAAAAAAAATTTTTTTAAAAACTAAAATAATTATAGTTTTTTGAAAATTTTTGTAATTATATATATAAATATATTCAAGTAAACAATCATTATTTTAATTTACACGAAATTTTGTCTTCTTTATTCATAAAAATTAGTAAAAGAGCTTTAAATTTTTAATTTCTTTTTAATACTTCAGAATTGCTTTACTAATTTTGAAAATAGTTAATTCAAGAATTTATTTTTATAATACGTTTTAAAATAACCTGATTATATATGGATTTGAAACTGAATTATCTAGAAGACTAAATAACTGCCAAAATGACAGAAGCTGAAATCAAAAATGACACTGTTTTCTTTAAAAACAACATAATTTGATGAACATTCTTTTGTTTATATTATCGAATAAATAAATATATACTTTGAAGAATAATCAAATATGTATAACCTTGCACATGCGTGGAGCACGCCAAGCAGCAATTGGCCCAGTCCAAATATACATAATATCTAAGGGAGCCAAAGAGAGTAAATCAAGTTTGAATTCTGAACTTCGTAAATAACGCTTTGCTGTTTCTTTATTTTCTTTCTGAATTTAACATTTTTAGATCAACACATTTATTTATCTTTTCGGTATTTTGCAAATAATTTTTACAGGAAAAGCAGGAAATATTAGTGTGCCTAGCAAAATGATCCAAAAATGTAAACTTTTAAACATTGCTGAAATTTAGAACTTTATTTATTAATTTAAGCTAATCAAAAAAACTAAAACATTTTAAGCATTTTCATTATTATGAAAATATCGAAAATTCCCAATCTATTCAAAGTAATCACGAAGTTTTCATTATTTATGTTCCTAAGATTATGATGAATAGCGTACAACAAGTAAATAATATTTCAAGAAATTATTTAAAAAAGAGAAAAAAATGGATAAAAATTTTTTTTCACATGTTTTTTAGTATAAAAATAGAACAAATTAGAGAAATCCTTTATCATTTACAGAACACTTTATTACTGCTAAAGAACAGTTACCACAGGTATTCCACTACGCATAAAACGTAGCCTTGGCTTGACAAGTAACATATCGATCAGATAAATGGCATCAGCAGTATAATCAGCGATGAACCAAAAAATAAGGTTAGATTCTGTTTGATAAGGGTAAGAACTGCGAAGTGGAATACCAAAAGCATTGTACAGAAAAGCTGTTACTACTATACTTAACCATATTAAGTACTTTCGTTCTAAAATTGCAAAAAATCGAGAATTTAATGATTTTTGCCTCATTTTTAGGTCTCATTGAATGTTAACTGCAAGCTAACAAATTTATTTCTGTGTTTTTAAAAACTAACAATACATTTTAGTAGTAAAACGATAAAATAAACTACAAAACTAATGAGTTTATTTAAGAGAAAACTCAAAGCTTCAAATATAAACTTGAAAACAAACTTAAAACGTAATATGATCGAATTTAAAAACAAGTTTCATTTAAAACTTATAAGATATTTAGCAGTGAAAATTTTATATTGCATCCATAAATGTAAAAATTTTTCATATATATTAGAAAGCACAAATTGTTATTGCTGAAAATTGAGCAAATATATTTAATGGCTGAATATATTTATAAAGTTAAATATAAAAATTAATTGCATCACAAATAATGCTTTTACTTAGTACAAATAATTAGTTTAAAAAATGAGATATTTAATTAGTTTCGCTTAATAATTTGAAAAACAAACGCAATGGGTCAATGGATGATAAAAAAATTTGCCGTAAGCAACTCTTAGGCTTGCCAATTTCTGCATTATCTATTGGTGATGCAATTCGCTGAAGAAATTTTTAGCTTCAAATTATTAAAAATTAAGAATATTAATCTGAAATTTTTGTACAAAATATTATATTTGAATTAAATTTTATTCCAAAACTAATTTCAGTAATCGTAAAATAATCATTTTTGTTTAAAATAAGTAAAGAGTGGAAAAAAATTAAAATAATAAGTAAAAATAAATAATAGTGAGTGAAAATAAATAATTAGCTAAGTAAAAATAAATAATTGAACGCACTTGAAGATCAGTCAGTGACATCAAACTTGCTCGACGTTCCTTTCTAATTTCTACAGATTCTAAGCTTTCTTCGTCTTCTTCACATTTACTAGTTATTTTTTCCTCAACCTATTAATTTATTATTCGATAAATTTGTATTTAAAAAATTTGATATTAAAAAGAAATTCCAAATCGATTTACACAAAAAAAAGAATTAGTATTTAATTTGATAATGAATAATTCTAATTATCTCTTATTTGTAAATGCTATTGTATTCTTAAACTTGTCTAAATTTTTATTTCAGTTCTAAGGTAGCAAGCGTTTATTTTTTCAGTGCAACATTTTAAATATGTGTGCATACTTCTTTAAAAACTCTGAATTATGGAAACTCAAATTTTAATTTAAAAATTTCCGAAGGTTTTTAATAAAGTTCTGATACCTGCGAAGTACGACGTCGTATACCATCTGCGAAAATATGAAGTTTTTCTTTTATGATAAATGATAGTTGATCATCACAAGCATTTCGTTCATATTTTTCAGTTATTGCTAATTCTGGTATTTCAAATGACTGATCGACTTTTCCTGGGATATTTGGCAAATATATTGATATTTCTTGTTCCGTACTTGGTTCTTCTGCATTACTTTCTTGGGATAACTTTGAATCAGGGTTCAACGAATGTTCATAACTTACTTTCGTATTTGCAGTGTTTCTCGCAATTTTTATTTCCCTGTAAATGAAATATCGGATATTAATTCAATTGTAATAAATACTCAAAAATTTGGTCAACACTTTTTGAGAAATAAGAAAGTAATTTGGATATGTGTGCAGAAAGCGCGTGAAATTTGAATTTTTGTAAGTAGCGAAAAAAGTTTGAATTGTTAACGTGGGAGACAAGTTGGAATAAAACTTTAACTGCAGTTAACTTTAATTTTCGCATAGCGTTTACGTGAAGGATTAACAAACACAAAAATCTTACGCTGTCATCAGATCACTTTGATCTCTTTTGAAGTGAAATTCATTTTCTCTCATGTCATCCATTTCTCGTATTGCTCTTTCAATATCTAATTTGAATTAAGTTTAGCGATATTAGTTAGGATTAATTCAAATTATATTGTTCAAATTGAAAGTATCGAAATTGAGAACAAAATTAGGAAAAATTCAGGAATGTAAATAATTTCAATTATTATTAGGCAATAGCAAAATGTGTATTATAAGCGAAACAAACTGACACTTTATCTCAATAAATTTAACATTTTTTAAAGTTTGAGTAATCTGTTGGTTATTTTTTGCTTGTTTAAGACTTAAAAACAATGGCTACCTACCGAATTTGTAGTATAATTATGTATAGTATAATTATGAAAAGTAATCTTGTTAATTCTTTTAAACGATTTATAACAGTGTAAATTACAAATTTAAATTAGCATATAGCTATAATGGCACCGATGTTCAAAGATCTTATTAGTCAAATAGATTTTTGAAGTAGATTTGAAGTGTAGAAAAACTAGAGACTATTTGTACTGAGAGCAAATATTTTTATCAGAGGTTCAAGGTGCCAATTACGAATACTAATTAACTCATCTTCATTTTATCTTAGTAAATACTTTTAATGCTATTTTTACCACTCTCATTATTATTATCATTATTCTACTTTGGTTGTTATCATTTTCTGCTCAATTATTGCTATGCATGTTATTATTGTTATTATTGCTATTTTCATTAATAATGATAAACAAAAATAAAACTTAGTATTATGCTTAACTATATTAATGTGTTTTTTTTTATGAAAGAAAAAGGTGAAAAATTATTATTTTTTCTTTTTTGTCATAATTTTCCTTATAGACAAGACTTTGTTTAATACATAATTCGAACATTGATAACTTTTTGTGATTTGAAATAGAAATATAAAGAAGCAAAATATGAGCTCAAATGAAATTTTTTTAGTGTTTGAAAATTTAAATAATGAAATATTCATTAAAGTATTTTAAATCTTACATAAGAATTTTAAGCATAAAATGGTTTGATAATATATCTTTTCATACATATTTTGAAAAATTTGACAAACATATCACTATATTTATCTTTTTTAAAGAAATTTAATTAGTCTTATGTTAATGTGATTTTACTCTTAACTATATTTGGCAATAAATTTTTATTTAAAAGTACCACTTTTTCGGTGATTATTCTTAATTGCTATAAACTATTAACAGAATGCATTTTATTAGACAATTACCATTACACAACTAAAAGTAATAGTATTTTTGCTTAATATTCATAATTAGGCTTGAAGTTATCACGCATAGAAATGACAGTAGCAACAAAGTTTTTTAGTTTTACTGAGCAGTACTTTTGCAAATGTATTTAATAACTTATTGTATTCAATTTTATTATATTTTTTAGAGGAATATGAATAATTCAACTTTTGACTTTATTTGTACACAAATTCATTAAAAAAGTAGTAATTTTATGTAAAAGAAAAAATTCAAAGGCATTTAATAAAATTGAAATTTTAGTGGCTAACTGCTATAATAATTATTTTATTTATAGCAATTTTCAGCTGAGAGTTCAAATTAAAAATATATATTAAATTAGATATTCTTTTAAAATGTGCCTATCATTTACAAAGAGAAAATTATAACAAAATACTTGCTTTAATGGAAAATAAGTAAAAATTGTTATCTTCCAATTACAAGCAAACTTTTTTCAAGAAGAAATAAAAATTGAAAGTTGAAAATTGAAGATGTGATAAGAGATAAAATTCCGTTGCTATGAGAACGTTCAGAAACTTGCAGCTTTGAAAGAGGATAAAACGATTTTCTTTTGAAATACTTTTTGCATTACCCTTTTATACTTTTAAGTAATGAAAACGTAAATATAATAATAATAATAATATAATGATTAGAGTTTTTTTTACAGAAAATCAGCAACCAATAATGGATTTCAAGAGTATTTGAAACCAACAGATCAAATTTAGAATTAAAGGTAATAAGTGAAATCATTTTCATTAAAAAAGAATTTTAGATAATTCAAATTCTGCCAAATACAAATTTGTCTTTTATATCAGTATATAAACTTTTAAAGCTTTAAAGCTTTCATCGATTTCGATGTCACTGAAAAACTTTGCAGAGCACTTTTAAGAATAAAAAATAGTGTTATATATTCCACTAGTAAATTTAAATCAGATGACCGAAGTATTATAAATTCTTGCTAATTGCAGATAGTTTCTGAAACCTGAATAGAATTATTTGTTTTAAATTTTCTGCACAAAAATCTGTTATTTTCATATAAATAATATTTTTCCTATTTTTATGGGAATGATCTCATATTAAAGATCATCCATCCAAATGTAGCTTAATGATCTATGATGCAGACAATTTCTAATGCTTCAATTCACGTAGTGTTTAACTAACATTCGAAATTTAAAAGTTTTCACTAAAAAACTGAAGATTTTCATGAATATTGAGTTCTATTTGGAAATTTTTCAATGAGTGTTAAATCATTAAAGAGCTGATTGAAATTTTCATTCGATTAGCAAGCAATATTAATTAAATAAATTTGTATGTAAACTAATATTCAAATCTGGGAAGTCTTTATTTTCATATCGAGACTTCACTATTTACCGTATTGTGTTGACATTTCTGTGGTTGACGTGGAAGTGAAGGGACGGAGGTTCGCTTAATGTTCGTTTATTTTTAGTTCTAGACTGATAGCTGTGTTCAAGGTATATGCTAGCAAAATCTGAGCGTAGTATTTTGTAATAGTTCTTTAATTTTTACTATGGATTACGACTATTATGAACTTTTGAGTGTGCAATCAATTTGATGAATCTTTTTTTCTCTTAGGTTTTTATTTAACAAAACATGGTTCACCATTTTTTAATTATGTTAGGAGTTTAAGCTTATTTCTGCGTACCTGCACTTAGTCTTACAGATCAAGAGCTATGAGTTACTTGTTTGCTCCATAGATTTACTATGCTTTTACTATGCAGCAAACAAGTAACTCGTAGCTCTTATCAAGTATTAAGTTCAGCAGAAAAGTTATCTTTTAATTGGATATTCCACCATTAAAAATAAGTTCAATAAAATTTCTTAAATTTAATTAAGATGTGTGCACAAGTATTTATGATCTTGCTTGTTCGCTTTAACATATAAGTAATTACTACTATTTGAAAAGTAAATTTTCAGAAAATGGTGTCGAATGGTTGTGTAGAAGCGACAACATTTAAGGTACGCTATGGAAGTGATGTACGTAAAATGCCCATTCATCATAGTGACGACATGTCGTACAACGATCTTGTTTTAATGATGCAGAGAATATTCAAGATAGATAGCTCAGCTAACATATCATTAAAATATAAAGACGAAGGTCAGTAAAACTAATATTTTCTTCCTTTTTTTTAAAAAAATTTTGGTTGTAATTGAAATTATGGTTATATTTTTTCTTTTCTCAATGCAGCGAAAAAAAGCAATCATCTGTATAAATTTTATTCGTATGACAAGAAGGATTTGCATTGCAAGTGGTTGTAAATGAAATTTAAAATCAATTATTCAGCATTATTAGTGGAACGTCATACTCAAATTTGTTCAGGGTTGTTTGTTGTTTATCACAATGTTTTGTTTCAAGAGTCAAAAAATTTTTGCAGGATAAGTTATTTTGTGGGTTAACATAGTAAAATACCAAAATAATCGGCAAAAAGTGTTGAAAAATTTTTGTGTAAATCTTTTCTTACTGAAAAATGCGAATGAAATAAGAACAGAAGATTGTTTTTGTATTAAGGTTTATTTAATTTTTTTACCATTTTTATTTCGGAAATTCATGAAAATGAAATAGTATGGAATGATTATTATGTTATTCCTCTATAAATCCATACTTCCTCTAAAAGGACGCATGTAAAATATGTGTTGAGATTCCAGCTTTTCTTTCGTACTCACATTGCATACAAATCTTATATTGAATGTGTTCGGAATGAGTTTTATTCATTACCGTAAACTTTTCAGTAAGTTTTTTGAAATCACTTTGATTACATCTAAATTAAACCATAGCTGTGAGATCACCGCACATTATCTAATTGATTATATTCGCATAATTTTGAAGATGGCGATTATATAACGTTGGCAGATGATACTGATTTATTATTGGCGCTTCAGACCGAGAAAAAACTTTCCATTATTGTTTTGTGTGACGATAATGATTGTGAAGAAATAAGAAGGTCAGTTCATTATAGATAAGTTCTCAGCTAAATGGGAGTGAAACAAAACAGAGAAGTTTTGTTTGTTTGTGTTGAAGTAAAACTGATTTACCATTTCTTTTATTCTGGAAATATAGTAAAAATTAAAGGGCGGAGAAAAGTATAGTAATATTCCTAATACAATTAACTATGTAAGAAATTTGCAGCTGATTTCATTATTGATATAGGCGGGAAAAAATTGATGAGTAAATAGGAAGAAATGGACATAAAATAAAGTATAAGCACCGAAAGTAGTATTCAGTATAATTTAGCCTCCTAAATTTTACGTTTCAGAACATTCTCAACTTTTAAATGATCTTGAAACATTTTCAACATTAAACAAGTGTAAACCAATTTGTTTAAATATTTTTTTACTGCTTAAGACTAGAGACTCAATTAGAATCAGTGCGAGACACTGCAATGTCTCTTTTGGAAATGCTAAAGACGGTTAATGTTGGCACTACGTTGAAGAAATATGAGAGTAATAAAGAATGTATTACTAATACTTCAGCAAAAACTTCCGAATCGGTTGCAACAATACAACCTTCGGTTCATGAGCAGGTATGTTCTACTGTTTTTGAACATAAGTGACTGCTAGAATACATTGCAGACAAAATGAATGAGTTTTTACAGTCACCACTTCCATTAGCCACACGAATATTACGGAAATATTACAGGTGAATAATTTGGCATCGAATCATGGCACCACTTTCTTGGGGAAAATTGACTCAACTGTTAAAGACGGGCCGCAGAAGAAACAATTAGATGTTTCTTCTACACACTCACATACGCCCGTTGATGTACTCAATTATTCAAAGTCATTGGGGCATTCTACCCCTTTAAAAGAAGGCACACATAGTGAACTAAATACTGAAATTGATATAACATCCAGCACTCATCTTACCGCATCATCATTTCCACATCATCAAGGTACTTTTATTTTAAAACTAATTTCCTTATATACATATATGCTTAAATATGTGTAATGAAGTGCTTGAAAAACTTAGGAACATAAATTATTAAGTTTTTTAATTTCTACTACATATATATATATATATATATATAT